AACATCTGTGCTGTGCAAAATGGCTGCAGCAGAGGAGCCTGAAGGGGATGATAGCAAAGAGGAATCACACACAGCACTTGAGAACATTTATTATATTTGATTCTGCATTTTTTATTTATTTTTCCAGTCGTGAGGAGACAGCTGATGATGTCACCAACTGTCTGGCTGGATATCTCAGTGTGTGTGTGTGTGTGTGTGTGTGTGTGTGTGTGTGTGTGTGTGTTTGTGCACAGGCAGACATCGCTTTGATCAAGAAAGCATCTCATTCACAGTCGATACCGGCAGGCCGGAGCTCAGGAGCGGTCAGTTCAGTCTGACCTTCAGCAACAGCGTTACAGTGGGCCAATCAGACAGAGTGTGTGTGTGTGTGTGTGTGTGTGTGTGTGTGTGTGTGCGCGCGCACGCGCGATCGAGCCACAGCCCAAGTGGAGGTTAAGCACGTGTGGGAATGCCATCACACAACATTTACATCATACCAGAGATGAACACACCGATACACAAAGGGACAATGAGACCCTGGGGGTCATTTGAACTTCTGTTATCAGTGTTGTATAAACATAACACATCTGTACGGAGACACAGGTGCAAATATGTGCACTGGTATGCTTCTTGTATACATGCAGTACATACACATACACATGTTCAAAATTAAACATGCATACAGCCGGTGTTTACCTCTGTCAGCATGTTTTTACACCAGAAAAAAAAATCTTAATACAACATATCAATTAGGAGACGATGCAATAAAGGATGGAGGAAGCTGATTTAAAAAAATATATATATATATGATGTTGTAGGACGTGCTTCTGCTCCTCCATCTTGTGTTTCAGCATTATGGTCACAGCTATGGACTCTGAAACACTGGAGGCATAATAGGATGCCAATCATGTGAATTGAACCTTGAAATAACAGCCTGGCACCATCAGCGGCGACTCACAAGTTAAAGCTAAGTTGTTTTCTACTCAACATCTTCCTGATTCTCTATAATACCAGGACTTTGTTACAATGCAATGCATGGAAACCTATAGCACGGAAAATTAATTACTTTATTATGTGCCTGTATACTGGCAACGGGTATGTGGATTACTGGCTCAATACTAAAAACAGCAGAAAAACACCAGAAAAGCTAACCTGGCTTTAACATGCGATCCGTAACTGGATATTCTTTCTGGATCAGGAGAACCACATCCTAAAAGAAAGTGTAAATTCACACATTGTAACTGGAATGGGATCGGATTGGCTAGACCACTTCTGGAGGTTGTCTTGTGTGTAAATGCAATCCATATAATGTGGCCAACATCCATCAAACACACCTCTTCGCCTCCCTCCACCTCATCTTGTTGCTTCCTGTTGTTCCTCTTGCTTTAACAAGCCTGGAAAAAATTTAAAAGTAGTAGCAGTAGCTAGCAAGTCGTATCACAAATCCAGCTGTAAATAGCGGTAAAAGTCTGAACAGATCCAGTGTTGCTGCCTCCCTTGATGCATGCTTCGACTTCACCAGAAACACAGGAAAAAAAACCAACAACCCCAAAGCAGACAAATCCATTCTTTATACTAACATACAGTGAACATCATACCCGGTGGGAAGCATGAGATGATTTGCCCACCTCTCACATTGTGCCTGTTATGTAATTGTCATTTTGCATTGACGATTACATCTGAGTCACAGCGTAAGCCCAAAGATAAATACAAGGCCAAACTGGAAAAACCCTGGCATTGACAACACAAAGACATTTTTTCTCATCACCTTAAGGATTCCTTTGTGCTGCTGATAAGAAAAATATCATGAACCTTGCAGGTCCACAAGGTGAGACTGTTTTCATTCAACCAAACAGAGATGGTGGCTGGAAATGTATTTGTAAGAATTCCCTTGCTCATCTTGTAGCTACAAAGCATTGCCACAATGGATAACACTCATTTTCTTATCAGGTTTATTTAGTCAAAAGTTCTATATAACTTTCATATAATTCATATTTTAAGGGGCCGTGTGAGAATACAACTGTGTAATCTTTTGTGTGTATACATTTGTTTGTGCTTTCCTGCTTTTACTGTTTAGCAGAGTCTGTGTGTTTATTGTTTATATGTTTTTATAAGAATGCATGTATATACGTCTGTGTGTGTGTGTGTGTGGGGGGGGGGCAGTGTTACGAGCATGCTTGCATATTGTCAGTGTTTTGGGGTCTGTACATATATTTGTTTTTGAGCTTGTCTGTGCCTCTGTATCTGCGAGTGTGTGTACGTTAGTCCATGTTATGTGCCTGTGATCCTACGTGTGTGTGTTTGTGTGTGTGTGTGTGTGTGTGTGTGTGTGTGTTCGTGTGTAGGCTACAGATAGAGGGGAGCAGCAGCAGTGTATCATGGCTGCAGAAGCAGGGTAGCAGCAGCCTGATATCAGCTCCTGTTGAGTCTGATTACAACCAGCCAGAGAGGAGAAAAAACGAATCATGAAACGAAAGACAGAGAGAGAGAGAGAGAGAGAGAGAGAGAGAGAGAGAGAGAGAGAGAGAGAGAGAGAGAGACTAAGTGAGAGCAAAACAAGACAGAAGGGAGTGAAATGCAACAAAAAGACAGTCTGGGAATGTGTGTGTGAGCTTCAGAGAGAAAACAAAAGAGTGAGTGTCACCAACAAAGGGTGAAATGGGAGTGAAAAAGGGGGAGGGAGACAAAGACAAAAAAGACAGAATCAATCAGTGCACGTTCATGCACTTAAGTAACTGTGTTACTGTCAGCTTTCTTCAGTAATCTGATTTCTTTAACGTCATGTAAACAAGAAACATGGTTTCCGTAATTGGAATAGGCGATTAGAGAAACCTGATTACCGCGCTATATTTCAGCTGGAAAACAGACTTCAGACAGGGAAAGTATCAGTGTGACAGCAGAGCGGCGGGATGAAAGGAAAGATCGTTACATCTATGTTTCAAAATAATTGAATCCACAGTCTGACTAAAACAGTAGCTTCCTATAAATAACTCAGTTTAACAGTTGAATATTTGTAGAATTCACACTAAGGAAAAACTGTCCTGTCATTGTGCCATCAAATGTTCCAACATAGACACAAATAAATAAATCACAACAACAACATTTTGTATAACCAACACCCTTGAAATAAATTATCCATGGTTCATCGCTGTAAAATAAATACAACACAGACCAAAGAAAAATGAAAACTATTACTGAGTGGTAGGGAATCTTCCTTGGTGGAAAAAATAAAAACACGATTAATCAATATACAGCAAGTCAACTCAAAAATGGCACCAGAGTTCTTTTTCAGTTTCTAACTGGAGTGTTTCTAAGCAGCAGTGCGATCAGCGCAAAAGGTATATTACAGCGAGTGATTACAACAGTTGGGCCACTGGGGGCAGCACTGAGCGCTGTACAGAAGATCTGCACCATATTTGATTGAACACTGTTTGAATTAATGTTAATGGTCGATACGTCTGTCTGTCTGAATAAAGAAATAATGTTTGTTGTTCCTGACGTTTTATTTTTGCACTTTAATCGTCCATTTTTAACTTCCTTGGTCACTTGACGACTTATTAAGTCGTTATGGTGAACGTGTTAACACATAACTGCCTAATTTTAGCAGATTCAGAGAAACAGTAACATCCATTTAAATTTATGTTTCAGGCAACTTGTTACATCAGATTGTGTCTCTCCTTTTAGCTCTGGTTTGGTCTCCACCATCTCCTGAGGGAAATATCTGACTCTTTAGCGACTAAATGATCTACTATGTTCATTAGCTGGACGCTAACTTTATCTGTCCGCCATTCGGGCAGGTTTCACACAGGTCCCGTGTAAAACCAAAAGTCGGTGTTGACTTCTTTTAAGTAACGTACTTAAGTTACATCACATAAGTAGTGTAAGTGATCTTTTCTAAACCTAACCAAGCTGTTTTTGTGCCTAAAGTTAACCAAAGTTACAGTCACACAAGCTTTAGTTTGTAACTGGACGATGCACATTTATTCCTGCTAACTTAACAGTGGAGCTCGCCACGTCCAGAAAGGAATGCAGCTTCATATTTTGAGGGGCCACTAATAAAGTATTTGACGAGTTGGGAGTGAGAAGGTGTTGACAGGTAGTGTACAACAGGGTTTTAGCTTAATACAACTGCCTGCTGCAGGGGAAATGATTGAGGTTGATGAGAGCAGCGAGAGTGAACCAAAACAATTAAACTGCGGCCGTAAATTAAATTAAATTGGTTCGTCACTACAAGCCACTCTTTTCACAAGTTAACTGTATCATAAAAATATTGATGAGATCAGCTTTAAAAGTCACTAAAAAGATAACTAATTAGTTTGTATTTTAAATGATGTTTCACATAACAGATTTTATGAACACCTGCCTGACTGAAATGCTCAGGTCCAGAATTTTAATACACAGTGTGATGAAGTCTACTTTCTATGTGTTTCACAATTTCCAACATAACCTGATTTCTCCCAGTAAGCTGGAATGTTTTTTTCGTGTGCATGCAAACGTGCTGAGTGAAAGAGAGAAAATGATAAGAGACAAAAAGGATAAGTGAAGAAAGGCAGAGAGAGAGAGAGAGAGGAAAACACACTGCAAATATATTTACTGAGGTGGAAACAGAGAGACAGATAAGGAAGAGAAAGAACCGGGGGAGAGCGAGGGAGCAGTCAGAGTAAAGAAAAAAGAAGAAGAAAAGGAGCGAGCTGGAGATGGAAGCAGGGAAAGGGGAATAAGATCAAATAAAGGAGAGACAGCGGGGGAAAGCAAGGAGTGAGAGTAAGAGAGAGAAGCATGGTTGACACATAAAACAAAGATGAGACACCTAGAGAGAGAGAGCGGCATTTGTGGAGAAGAGGCTGTTGCTGGAAAATGTAGATAGACACCTCGGAGAGGGAAAGGAAAGAAGCTAAGGGATCCAGTGTGTGGAGGGGCCAGAGAGGAGGAGGAGGAGGAAGACAGAGGAGGAGGAGGGAGGGGAAGAGCTAAAGAGGAGGGGAGGGGACGACACAGGCAAGGGAGGACCAGTGTGAGGAGAGAGAGAGAGAGAGAGAGAGAGAGAGAGAGAGAGAGAGTGAGAGAGGCAGATACGGAGGTCCACAGACAGCAGAGGCGTGCAGCATGCAGACTGGTCATTGACGCTGCTGCTGGATTGAACACACATGCACACACACACACCCCTGAGGAGTGTATGAGACATGCCCAGGCTGCTGTCCATGGACACACACACACTGGCAGGGCACCAGAGAGGAAATACAGCAGACCCCAGAGCCTGAGGAGCTATGGAGAGCAGCATGTTCTTTGGTGAGTTTGTATTTACATGTTTGTGTTGTGTTAAAATGTTTAAATCTCATCCTTGTGTGCCTGTGCAGATTCCCTCATCTATATCTGCGTGTTCTTACTTGTTCTGGATACTGAAAGAATAACAGAAGAAGGTCTGGTTTCCATAAAAAGGAAAAGAGTGTGAAGTTACACACCTAAGAGACCTGTGTTTTTATATGTGTGTGTTCACTAAATGTGTTTTATCACAGTCAAATGCAGAGTATAAGTGCACATTCCCCCTTTCCTAAATGTAAATGTGTTCCAGGCTGCCTGTTACTTGTTCTGGAAACTAAAAAAGATGGATAGGAGAGCCGGTGGCTGTTACAGCGGGAAATAAAAAAAAGGGAGAGAAAGCATGAAGTTGCACACTGAGGGCTCCTAAAAATGCTGAATGAACCTGCTCACCAGGTAACCCCCGTCCTCATGCTCTGGTTTACTGGACTAAATCCCTGCTGCTGCTGGTTGGGCTGCTGGGAATCCAAGCTTTTGGATGTCAGTGTGGCTGTTTGACCAGCTGACTGTCCGTAGGAATCCCAATAAGATCGGGGTTGCCTGCCTCGAGAGCCACTTGATATTCTGTGTAGGATATTTAGAGAAATTTAGAGAAAGGACCCCCCCCCCCCTCCTCCATTAGTTTTTATGGAAGAGACTGGAGGAGGCTTAGGAAGACTTAATGCGCGAGTGGCTTCTCGTCAAGTGCTCTTCTCACGGCTGGCTTACAGTCACAGAGGAGGAATAATTACACAGGGATCCCGAGTTCTGAGGGGGTGATTTGTTAAATGAAAGACTCTTTTTTTTTTATCCCGGGGATTAAAGCGATCTGAAGTTACAGACCGTGGCTTGTAAGAGCGAGAAGGATTTTCTCTTGTTATGCCATACACAGAGGAGGAGGGGTGGTGGTGGTTGGGGGAGGGAGGGAGGGAGGAAAAGAGTGCTGGGAGCTTATAAATGAATAAGCTGTCAGGTGCAGAGACAGCTTCAGCTCTTTGAGATCCACCACCGATGTCGGTCAGGTGTGCAGCATCTGGAAAGCAAAGAGAAAAACAAAAGGTGATGCAGGTCTGGCAGGATGGATGAGTTTGGAATTTGGCCCCGTTTAACCCAAAATCACGACAAGTGAAAAAGGAGAACGCTTCCCGGCCTTCAACCAAGGCACAGTTCAGGGAGCTTTCCGGGGGTTGATGATGCGTGTTTTGTCTGCACTTTAGTCAGACGAAGCACTACGAACCATCTTATCTCCACTACTCAGTGTAAAACAAAAAAACAAGATGAGTAAAGGTCACTGCGTACAGGATTTTAACATTTATGAATGCAATCCTGAGTGCACTGCACAGAGAAAATAGATGCTATCTCCTAAAAGATTAATAACACTGCTTGTTTACCAGCTTTGCATTGCTGCTGTATGACTGGAATGCGTTTTTCTGTTGAAGTGATTAATATCCAGTGACATATGAGAAGAGACTGCGAGACTCTTGACCTCTCCTAAACAAGATTCCTGAAAAACAAACGGAGCAAAAGGAAATGTCCGTCTTGCATCAAAACTGAACAGTAAAAGAACTGTAACCCAGCAGGCTAATAGGTCTTAACTGTGTGCCGCAATCACACAAGCTATTAGTGTTGTTGAGTCGGAGGCCCAGAGGAAATCTATCCGGTGTGTTTTGCTTTGCGGTCGCCGTTTAGCAGCACGTAAACGTCTTTTTGGTTAACCTCAGATTACAGAGCGCATGGGAAGTGATTGTTGGATCTGATTCAGAGACAGCTGTGTTTATTAGTGAGCTCCACTCATGACAGCAGCAAGAGCTACAGTATGCTAATCTGAAGGGGATGGAGGCAGCGTGTGTTATGTCGCTCGGAGCCAAATGCACGCGGTATGCCACACGCTGGAAAGATTTATGAAGTTTCATGAGAACACAGAGCTTATCCTGTAAAGGTTAATTGGAAAATCAGTGAAAGTGTAGCTTACAAAAAAATAAGAATGTTTTAAATCTACCCTTTGTAGTCACTTTGTTCCATTTAATGGGGGTGAAATGATTTTATCCTCCTCGCTTGAAGGGAAGTACTGATCTCAGAGCATGTTAAGGGTCACGGAATACAATCAGCAAAACTCCATGAAAACACAAAAGGTGTTAATCACATTCGGACCATCATCAGCATACGAATTACTTTCAGTGGAATTCAGATTTATCTAATAATTGGATTTCTGTTTGCTGAGGGTATAAGAAGGGTGTGCAAGAGCAATCTTTTTTATTTTCGTGGCTCTTCAGCTGCGTGGGCTCTCTCAGCCTCTCTGGACAGATCTTATCGGAGGAGCAGCCAGGTTCAGGACACTAAGACGAGGCGGAAGGTGGAGGAGAGCGGCACAAGATGATTAATTATTAATGCCAGTCTGCGTCCTCCAGACATCATTTTTACTCTCTCCCTCTCTCGACATACTGCCGCAGGAGTAAAAACGCTTGAGCCCAGATAAGTGAATCTTTCAGGAAGGGCAACGCAGAGGACAGTCAGAGTCTTAAGCACGTCGTGATACAGTAGCCTCACACATCCTGGCCAATGAGCTGCTCTTAATGTCTCATACTGTATGTGCTGCGTCATTAAACACAGCCTAAAAGGGAATGGATAAACAAAGGCCAGTGGGTAAAAACGTTAATCAATTCTGATCCGTTTCAGATATTTCCAGAAGTCAGATCTCATCTCAGTTCTACATCATTACACTTCTGGGAAAAACAGGCAAAAAAATCATCTGCAAAAGCCCCAGGTTCAATGTGTCAACTGGTTTGTGGTAATTAGATTAATTAAAATTATGTTTATGAATATGCAGCCTTGAAGCATTAATATCAACTGACATGATAAGGTCTTCAAAGCTGCATTAATTTGTTTCATTTGGCCATTTGCAGGAAGAACTCCGAAAGAAACTGAAAACCACATGTTCATCATATTATGGCCTTATGAATTTGATATTGCTAATGTGTTAGCCAACTTTTTAGTTAGGGTCTGTTTTATTTTTATGTTACTATTGATGCACCACTGACCTTGTTCACTTAAGCATGAGCTGCTGTGTCAGGTGTGCAGTCTTTAGAGTAAAAGCTGCTAAATGTTCACAAGCGTGTTATTAACTTTGTCTGTCTGACCTTTGGTGCTGAACAGGTGGCATAGAGTGGGTTTTTTTAGAGCTTTTTTTTGTCTGTGGGAGCAGTGAGAGTGAATCTGAACAGTAAAGTTGACCCAAAACAACAAGCTACAAGACACTAAAATGCTCTGTTACTGAGGGGACCTGCAGAGTTAGACAATCATTGTCGAAAGCAACACCTTTCACATCACATTTTATCTTTTGGTAACTATTCACCAATATGCATAAAAATTGGCACACTCGTAGATCTTATCCAGACGAAGAAAAAATCCAGTGGGTGCCATAGCCCAAACCCAACAGGAAGTTGGCCATGGATTTAGCGATTTGCACACGTTGTATTTGAACTAACTCCTCCTAGGGAATTGATCGGAACAACTTCAGATTTTGACACAGCCATCTAAAGACATTCGTGATTAAAAGTTGTGCTATTTACGACATTCCGTCGAACAGCGTCCCCGTGGCGTGGCGTGCAATTTCATAGACCCGCCACGAAAGAGGGATTCGTCATAACTTCTGAGTACATGATCCAATCTCAACGAAATACATGCTATAAGACCCCCTGAACAGTCTATGTAATAATATCAGTAATAGTGAGATGCAAAACACATTTGATAATGTAATGGCAGGGCTGGGGAAATTTTGATTTAACGCCACAAAACACAAGTTTGCTGTAACTTGAGTGTACATTGTCCATTCGGCTCCAAACTTCACTTGTTTGATAAGAGTCCCGCCCTGAACACGTCTACATGACAATATTCAGATATAGTGAGAGTGCCACCTACTGGCAACAGGAAGTAAGCGCTGTGATGCGATTATGATCTGATTTCTGCAAAATTTTCATGTTGTGGTCGGCACGTGACGCGGCCGCAGCACGCCCCGAGTTGCGTGGAGTGCGAGGGCCCGTTGTTAATGCAGCTTTAAGTTCCTCCTAGTTCCTGATTTTGAGGCATTGTCAAGCTGAAGAGCGTCTCACCTGTGTCGAAATCTAGTTTTAAGACTTTCATTATTTCAGTGATGTGCTCATATTCTCATTTTCATTCACTATCATGTAGCATATCAAATATTCCAGTATATAGAACGCTGTACATAACACACAGAGGAGTTAAAGGTGTGTGGTCCACTTTCAGGTAAATCGGGCCATAATCACATCCCATATATAGAAAGATATCTGGTGTAAGTTGGTTTCAGGTTTGTTGTTTGAGAGCTGCAGACAGAAAGTAAGCACTGTTTGCAGCACTCTGTGTGGCCTAAAACACAAATCTGTGGTTATATTTTACATAGACAAACATTTCAAAACCTCAAAAACGTATAAATCTCATATTTAACCATCACATACTTACGGTCAGTGGCTGCATGGGGAGCTCATAGGGAGAAGTCTTCACTCTATGCTACAAGACTGCATTCAATATGTAAACAAATTAGCACTGTGCAGAAAGTATAGAAGGGGCAATACTGGGATATAACCAGGCTTTTCATTTGAATGATATTTTGTATTGTATTTGGACTAGTTTTGGTTTAATGATCTCAGTGAAACTTGAAAATGAAAAGAATATGAAACCAGGCTGACAAGACAAAACTGTAAATTCCTCTCTCTTTTCCACAGTTTTATGCTGCCCAACTCTCAGGCTGCTCTGACACTCTTCTACCAGTTATTTTAATGACTTTCACCCGCTGACCTTTCAGCGTGAAGTGACTCTCCTGAGTGACTCTCAAAGTAGATGACAGTGTCAGCTGGAGAGACTCAGTCCACCTGGGCCCCTCGCTCTGCCGGTAGAGTCAAAATTTAGAAGTTGTCGACAGAACTCAAATATTATTTTTTTTAGCCAAATTCAAATATTGACACTTCTAACAAAGTGATGATTACAGATGCCATCTGTGCTTTTCTGCCAGAGCCTGCAGTAAAAAAGCTTTTTCTGTCTTGGTGGTGGAGTATCTTGAAGTTAGTGTGGCACTCAAAGGTCCGGGTTAAAGTTCACATTAGCAGCCACAGGCTCATTTTCATGCTCTGCCTTATATTTTGCACTTTTGCTGGTGGTGACAAATGATCAGGCTCAAGAGAGTTGAAACACTAACTCCTGCTGCAGGCTGGAATGTGCTTTTGTGTTTGGGCATGCTTGCCAGATTTTCGATTGTTGTGTTAGACCTTTCACAACAGGAGACAAAAGGAAATCAATTTGCCTTATTATACCACAAACGGTGTGAGTTTTAGGAAGGTTAGAAGAGGTTAAATTCAGTAAACAGTAGACACTGTGTCCAGTGAGGGAAAAGTCCTCGAACAATTTCTCCTTTGACCAGACGGGGTTGTTTTTTATGACTTCTTCGACACTGTTGGTCTAGGGATGACATTGTCAGTTGGTCTGTCAGTCGATCCACCACTGTTATGAAATTTCAGACTCAGGATGAACTGTAGAACTTGTAGTTAATGCTAATTAGCAAATCAGGGACCTGCTACTCCTGCCTGCATGTAAGCCAGCCAACTAGCCAGCTAAGATTGGGTCTTGCGATAGCACAATATAGGGCAATATTGCACGATGTGATGCAAATGTGTCAAGCTTTGTGATGTTCGGAAGAATCCCATTGGTTATACCATTTGTTGTTAATCATTTACACAGCTTCCAAAGACTCACCAGCCCTCACAACAATGGCAACAATACCAAGTTTGGATCATGGATGTATAAAGAGAACTGGATACAGCAGTGGAGGCGGCACTTTGTTCGTTCCTATGAAAGCTGCTCAGTGGCGGATGAAAATCTGCTTTACCCAGATGAATACATACTGCGCATCCTCTATGGGCCACAGTGACCTTTTTGTAACCTTATGGGAAAAAGTCTTTTTGGGCCAGTGTGCGTCACATGACAGGCGCCATTGCTGTAATTACACGGTCTGGCCACTTTGACAAATTGGCTTCAAAGCCCGGCGCACGTCCTTAGGGGTTTGGTTTGGATGCTACAGTGTCACATGACAGGGGACATAGGGCATTGGTTTGCTGCGTTTCTTTTTTGTTTACTTTTTTTAACAGCTCTGGGCAGCCCTATCTCTGTGTCTCCTGGACGCATACCTACCAAAATGTGATAAAAGCTTGGATGATATGGCAATTTAATTTGGTCTAACTATGGGCTACTCGTATTTATGCAGCCACAACAGCAAAAATAGCATGTTTTCTTCCAGAGGGGCCGCTCAGCCAAAGGGAACAAATGGGCTGTTGCTGCGTGTCCTTGTAGCAATTGCAGCTGTTTCAGTCCTCCATCTGTGTCTACTGTAGACACAGTTCAGGCCCAGTAGGTCACCTGCATTTTGGCAGTGCTCGGAGAACAACAAACAAATCACTGGGGTTACAGTACATATGAAACAAAAGAAAAAATACAGCTACTGTATATTGATCAGATGTGCGAGATAGACAAAGAAAAATATAGATAAAATGCCTCCTGTGCAGAGACGGCTTATGATGGTGCATATTGTAAACACCTGCTAAAAATTAGCATGTTAGTATTGTGAGTATTTTAGCATGCTGTTGTTTATTAAAAAAAAATATGATCAGCATGTAAATTATGCATTTTTATAGATTCAACTATCCACATTATGAAAAATTAATAGCACAGTAGTATTATATCACAGAAGGGCCCATTCTCCACAGGGACGTCTACTTTTGTACTGTTAAATGAGAGTGTTTTTATATTGTATTTCTTTCTGCTTTTGACATAAAGGATCTGAATGCTTCTTCCACAAGTGACAGTGTAAATAGAAAAACTGATTCTTGTCCTTCATTGGTGGAACTAATCACTTTTGCGTGATGTTATGAGTAGAAAAACTTCCAGACAGCCGTGATGACATTTTAGATTCAATCTCCTATCACTCAACAAATTCACATTTCAGTTTGTCACTCTTCATCTCGCTGCGCACTAATCCCACACATCAGCCCTGGTGTGACTGAACTGGCTGTTTTGACTGTGCACGTCGGGCTGTGAATGGAGGATTTGGCTGGGTGTGAGGTGAGGCGTGCCTGCGGGTTGACGTCAGGGCCGGCATGTCGAGAGATGGCACGGTTGGATGATCCCTACAGAAGGACATGCTTTGCTAAAGTTGGGACTAGGACGTGCCTCCACATGAGAGACGGCATGTGTTCTTTTTCCAACAGATGGCAGCGCTCCGGCGACTGGAGGGAGAAGACAGAAGACAGAGCGAGAGAAGGGGGGACAGTCTGTGGTTTCTCCCTCTTCTCTTCTTGTCTTTATGATTTTTGCTTTTTATTTACCCCTTACCACTGCGTGGGGACTGAAACGTGGCAAACCTTGTTTTTATTTGTCTCAAGACGGTGGTTTGATACTGTATCTGCCAGCTCTTTAGAGCCATGCTGGCCCAGAGTTCCACTGTTGTTAAATGTGCAGCGATAAAAAAAAAAAAAAAAAAAAAAATCATCCCTCTGGTTCTCATTACAGCTTTGCAAAATGGCTTCTTTAATTCCTAATGTTTTGGAAGGCTGTGACGGTTTTCTCTGCCTTTTTTTTTTTTTTTTTTTGATCCGGCCGTGTTGAAATCAGCCCTGTGCTGTTTCCAATTGGTGGTTTATAAAGCGCTCTGCTGGCGTGGCGCACTCACATGACAATAAAAGTGAAGTATTTACTTTTGTTTTTCCTAGAGATGTGTGGGCCAGGCCTCTCTTGCCATTGAATCATCTCATAAGACACTGTGCCTGCTGCAGTCATTCCACATCAGCTATTTGTGGGGACAATTTCAGAATGAGAACATCTGTTTTGGAGAGATCAACATCATCGCAGCATCATGCAGTGGTCATCTGCATGTACAACTGCTTCTCAGTGCATAATTTGGGTCTGATTGTGATTACAAGAGGAAACTGAATTCAGAGAATCCACAAGCCTGCAGCTAGTTTATTGCAGACCAGATCTTTGTGCCAATTGACAGTAATGGAGACCATTCTCTTCACCGTGGCGGTGGTGGAAAAAAATTAAGTAGCAACGCCAGAAGTCCTGCAATCAAAATGTATTAATTTAAGTAACAAAAGATACAGTACATAAACTGAGTGTCTACATATATATATATATATAGAGAGAGTAAAAGTACTTATGGTGAAGAATGGACCATGCCATTATCAATGTCTTAACATGCCTGGTACATATTGCACTGATAATGAATATCCCCAAAAATGGTGGTGTGAGATTCAAAGTTTTTTATTTTACACTGAAGTCATTGAGTGTGAAAGTTCATGCCTGAGCTCAGGATCAACATGTGTAAATGTATCATGTCAACTCAAGCTCAGAAAAAGCATGAAAGTGGACCTTGAGTTGAGATTATTTTGTCACTAACATTATACAAGCTTGGAAATCCACAAATTCTGAGACAAAATTAAATTTCTAATAAAACAAACCAAAAACTTTGTTATAAAAAGGGATGAAATATTTTACTTTGAATTGATAGAAATCCTCCAAAGAGGTATGAAATTCAAGGTTATCCAGGCCTCAAGCATTAAAAGCATCCAGATTGGAGATTTTGGGGATTTCCATGCAATCAGATGAGTTACGACGCACGTTTTTACTCCTGGCATCAATTTAAAATCAACTCAGCTTGCATTGTAATCACTGGAACTAACATAGTAACACAGATGAGATGTTTTACAGCACAAAGAGACACTGTGACACATTCGAAACAGACTAAACAAAACACACTGAAGGTTCACTTGGATGTAAACTGAAAGATTTTGGCTCATGTTTCTGTCTGTGTTGCTGTCTGCAGTTCAACATGTTGCCTTTGCTCTCCCTCCTACAGGTAACACATGTCAAAATGGCCTCATGCCTGCCCTGGTGCGCCCCACCCTGCCTGCCATCCAGACCTCACTGGGCATGAAGCAGTTTCTCCCGTTTCCATTGGATACAGCCTCAGCGGTTCGCCTCTTCCCAGGATTCAACACGGTGAGTCTCTCATGTGATCAGCTCACAGGCTCTCAGATGTGGTTTGACCCCCCGCTAAGGTCATTCTGGTGGACTTGAGTTGAATTGGAGATATGGACTGATTTTTATCACTGAGTCAGAGCTAAGCAGCTTTTAGCCTTCAGGCAGCGAGGTCTGACCTTCCTCAACCTCGTTTGGTCAAGTTCATGTATACGTCTTTTTAAAAAGCTCTCTCTCATTGTTACCCATGAAACATCTCGTTAAAATGATGCTTTTAAAGCTTTAATGCAAGAAGGAATACGTTTAATGTTGTTAACAGTCCACTTAAGAGGAGTACATCTTACTGTGGGAGAAATGTATGTTTTATAATGCGAATATTTACTCAGTAGCTACGAGATAGAAACTGTGAAGGTTTATTCTTGACCATTTCGGTGTATTTCTATTATTAAAACTATATAAGTTTTCTTTTAGTAATGCAGAAATGCAGAGAAGCATTCATGGAAAACATGTGCTTATTGAGATATTGCACTTATTCTGCAGATAGTTTGCATATTCAACTCTCTCTAATGACAGCTCTGTCTTTAGGCTCTAAAACCAAAGCTCATAAAGTGAGAACAGGTCATTTCTTTTTGAGGAATTTGGCTGCCGAGTACAACTCATCTCCTTGTTAACAGTCACATCTGTTTTTATTTTTAACTTAAAAACAGCAACAGAGTTTATCACAGAAAATGTTGAAAAGTTGGCATCCTAGTTGTCTTGCTGTAGTACACAACAGCTTTGAAGAATACCTTTCGTGCATCTTAATGTATCGCAAAACATGCTCCATGTTTACACTGATGGCAGGTTGGAATATTAAAGCGTTAATGTATGTCACCTCTCTCTAAGCTTGCAATATGGTGCGCACCATCTGGAGGAAGCAAGAGTTCAACAGCAGAAGTGCAGCGAAGCAGTGCAAATAATTTAGTAATGCTTTATTTAACTGGTCTGTAATTTCTTAAATAATAAACGAACAATTTTCAGGTTTTCTGGAGAGAAACAATCAAATTTGGAACTTATTGGAAAAAATATACTTTAATTAACTACTTTCAAGTGAAGTAAACAGAAACTTCAACTTATATAGAGAATAAAGTTTCCAAAATGAATACTAACTTGAATTAAATAAAATTGACATTTATATTTTCTCCACAATTATTAGCAAGTTAGATAAAGAAATCAATAATTAACAGTAGTTATTCCATTGAATGCACTGCAGTGTGTGTTCCTTCTAAGGTTTGTTGTTGGAAAAGAAACATCCATCTTCTCATCAATGAAGACACACAAAGGCTGCTAATGTGTAATAAATGTCTAAATACCTCAAGGAAGGGGTTGGGTGCACTGATCTCTAAAGTATTGATAATAACCAATACCATGTATTTTACATTGGATCAAGTATGTTACAAAAAGCGACGAGAGAGAGAATCAAACAAAAACGAGCCATTTTAAGACCTGTATTTGTGTGATCATTGGGTGATTTCATGATGGCCATTTTTGAGTATTTTCTGACATTAAAAATATATTTTTAAAGAAAAAAACAATCTGTAAAATAATAATGAAAATAACGTAGTTCAGTCCTGAATACAATAGTTGCTCAAAGCAACTGAAAAAGAATGATGAGACTTTTTATGGTTATGTTTAAGCTCCGACTGCACTTGATTAAGATTTGGAAAAGATTGTTGTCTGGGTTTAATACAGAAATATTCCACAGTGATTTCATGACACAACATGTTAACTGGTCCCATTTAACCAACACGACAGTCTTTACCCAACCATAAGTGCTTCTGTTGTCTATGTGGGACTCCCAGTCGCAGTTCTCATACTCGAAAAACCATTTCCTGTAAACATTAGGCAAGCAGGCATCCCTTACTGCTGCTGTGGTTGGTTTGTTTCATCTTTTACTCTTTATATGTAATTATATAATATGTAAAAATATGTTAAAAGTTCCTTCACATTTTTAATAATTCCAATAGAGCTCATTGTTTTTCAGAGACAAACTCTTGAATTGACCATTTCTCCAGTATTGATAACTGCTGTAAACAGCTTTCTGAAATGCATGGGTGGCATGTGGCTACAAAGACCTTATTGGATTTGAAATCGGCGAGGCGCTACCGTATAAATGGAGCACTCACCGTGCACTTACTGTACCAAGACTCATGTGTACATTTGTATGGATCTATTGATTTTGCTTTTTGAAACTAGAAAGTAATTATGAGGAAATATGTGGCCTCGCACCGCTCAAAATCAGCTAGGTCATCAAAAAAATACGATGATTCCTGGAAAAAAAAAGAGAAACCCCTGACACATGAAAGCATTTTTTTTTTAAGTGACTTCTTTTGAATTACGGGAGATAGCTCAATTTAAAATCTGCTGGAAAGAGGAGTTGAAATATGGAGCACAGCTGGATAAGAGTGAGAAAAAAAAACATGGACATGAAGGAAATAAAAAAAAGGGGGGACATTGCGGAGAAAAGCCCAGATAACCCATGGGAAGACAGATTGTTTCTACAAAGAGAGTTTCATGAGAAAGTTCAGGAATACTGCGTCTCTTTTCTCGCCCCGTCTAATCTGTATTTAACAGACTTGTCTGCAGATAATGAGTAATACACTGGGAAGCCTCCAAGTGGTGGAAAGCTGATACTAGATTAACACAAAGTAATCACCTCTCGCTCTCTGTCGCACAGACACACAAACACACTCCATTCTTGCTCTTTCAACCCTTTGCTTTTCTCTCTCAGCCTCTTTCTGTTCCCCTTGTTGTCGCTTATGCTCTCAAACTTTCCTCCGAGCTCCTGATTTTTAGTTACCAGCAGAATGTGGTGTAAAATCAGAAGCTGATAGCAGGAACTTTATAAAAAGGGAGTTCAAACACGAGTTACTGTCCTACATTCTCTTGTGCTGCCTACACAAGACCCCTTTTCAGCTCTTTCAACACCAGTGTTAGTTTGGTTTCAAGGGTGCAACAAAGGAGCCTGTTTGCCAGCTTGTAGGTCTGATCGGGTGTCTTTGTGTCTCTCAGCCGGTGTCTTGCTGGGTGGGAAGAGACAATTTTTTACCAATCATATAAACAATACCACTGTGGCACTGATTTGACATTTCAGTATTTCCAGCAAAGTCCCGGATTCAAATTGTTACGAGTAAAAGTTAACGAAAACTGGTCGTAAATTGTCCTTCAGTGTGTTAAAACAACAACCTTGAATCTCCATGCAAGGATTTTGTGTTTTTTGCTTTCAGATTATCTGAAGAAGGAAAGAAATTCCTTCCTTTTAAATAAAAAATTAAATAAAGATAATGGTGATATTTTTTGGGTTTATCTCATGTTAAATGTAAAATATGGAGTAAAAAGTACAAAATGTCCGTATGACATGTAGCAGACTTTAAGTATAAAGTTGCACCAATGGAAATACTAATATAACTTCGTATGTCCCTCATCTTATTAACTTTAACTAAAAAGTAACTTTCCACCTCAACATATGGCTGATGTGGCTTCAGTCAAGCAGTTTATTAGGCGATGCAGATCTCTGATTATAATTGTGCACAGAAACCAAACAGCTGTCCGATTGTGTGCAGCAGATTTTGTGATTTACAAAATCAAGCTGAAGCTAGTTTCCATCTGAACTCCCACTGAAAGCACACATTTTATATCTGCTGAGATGAGGTCAGATTTACTTACGTGCCTCCAGGGCTCAATAAACATTTACGCTCTCTTATTCAGAAAAATACCAAATGATCCTATAGATGATGATGACAGTTCTTCCATTAACGCACTGCAGCAGTAAGGACACACTTCATCCAAGGAACATTCACAGTATTAGAAGTGCTTTTCATATGTGGTACAAAAGAAAATAGAAAATGTAGAGAGTGTGTGCGTGTCTACACCTGCATGAAATGGGACTAATACCAAAGTCTCTTGTTGAGCCTTCGTGCAATCTTGTTCTGGGCTGAGTGACTGACACAACCAGGAAGTCCTTAGCCGGAGGGAAAAAATGGATGTTTGTTATCCCTCTGTACTCTCTCTCTCTCTCTCGCTTTCTTTTTTCCCTGGTGGGCCCCTTTATACAAGGAAATGTAACAGAAAAATGTGGCTTCAAGAATAAGAAATGACTTCATGCATGTACCTACATGTGCTCAGAGACATGGGGGGTAAAAAGGTCTTTCAGGAGGCTCCAGTTCGAAAGGAGCTTTCAGACAAACAAGGTGGTGTGATAGTTCAGAGCAGGGTGGAAAAGATAAGGAACATGTTGTCTTTTAGTGTTCATGTTTTTATTACCAGGTGTTGAGCGGTTTATGAGATACTTCTGTTCCTTCTCTCCTAACAACACAAAGGTTGCTTGCTCTCTGCCTACCTACCTACCTTCCTACCTACCTACCTACCTACCTACCTACCTACCTACCTATCAAATATGTGTTCATGATTGACAGATTGTGCTTTGTTATCATTTATGCACAGAAATGAAATAATATTAAGGTTTAATGTATTAACGATAAAATTTGGACATGCGATTAATGCATGTCAAAGATAACACAATGTTGTTTACCTCTTCCAGTGACTTCGCACATATCATTATGTGTAGATCGAAATTGCAAATAACATTTCCTTTTTAGGTAATTGAATCCATATTTCTGAACTAGTAAGACTGCATCCAGAGTCAGGGGCCTGTTTCAACATCACCAAAAAGGGTAAAAACCTTAGCAGCACCTTGGCTTGTCCTGACGATAAATATATCAGTCACACATGTAGATGAAATTAATGAAAACGTATCTGGTGCAATCAGACTTTTTGGCTTTGTCCAGTGTAACATTCATCATCATCAAGGAGGAGATCCAGTGTTTGGTTTGTTTCGCTCTCCAGGGCCAGAATTTGGACGTAGAGACGCTAAAATGAAGGAAAACACAACGATGAACGTTCCATTGCGTCCTCTTATCGCTGTTGGGTGAAAGAATTCAAGACTTTTCTCCGCTGTGTGAAACGAATCCTTGTGAAATGTA